TTGACTCTACCTGAAGCCGTACACCCAAACTGGCTGACTTTTTGCACCACAGCCTCCTAAGTCGTCGACGCAAATTGTCTACTGTTTGTATGCAACCAACAGCTTCACAGAAAAGATGTGAGGAGAACCAGATGTGGGACCTTTAGCTGGGCTGGCGTGAGCCTACTTCGTAAAGCTTACTAAACTAGTTTTCGTCAAGGTGCTAGGAGTGCATACTGCCTTCGTAACAGGATTTGCTTGTCAGGCTGTACTTTAGGGGATTAGCTGGTGCATATTTGCTTCAAGGAACATGTAAACACTAACATCCTGCTACTCTATCAGTCATTTTTCTATCCTGATCTGATGCAATTTGAAGTTAGAGTATTACCCAGTCAGGATATTTGTCGAAATAAGCAAGCTACTTGGAAGGGAGAATGTGAACAAGTCATTGCCACATCTCCAAGATGTTGGCAATGCAAATGAGGATTACTCATTGCTAGAGTATGTTTATGCACAAAGGCTTGACACGACACGCAGGCCTTCCAGACAATTCTTGCATCGGCGTATCAAGGATTTAGTTTGATTTCCTAAGAAAAATGAAAAACTACGTTTGCTGGCAAGTGTATTGGTGTGCAAACGAGATTTTACATAAAAATACAAAAGTGAACATTAAAGAGGTATGAAATTAAATAGTTCATCTTTCCTAAAAATTTACGCAAAACTCTTTGCCACAGCATCGAATAGGACGCGGTGGACAAATTGGGAATGAACCACTAGTCCCAATCTACCATTTGTGGTGCCACCCTTTAAGCAGGTGAATGTTCACAAAGCCCTGATGAGTTGAAACAAGCACACAACCTGTGGAGTGCCAAAACCAATCAAGGAATCGATTAACCCAGGTTCGATAGCCACTAATTAACTGTGCACACGTAGAGTCACTTGAGAGGTGTGACTGGAGGAATATATATATATAGAAGCATACGCTGCATCAACCAGTTTGCTGGGGCCTTTCCTTGTATCCGTGTAGACAACAGGACCTGAACAATGTGGAAGTAGGTTGGCATTGTTCGCGACACAAAATTATCGTTGTTTTAGCCGAGCAGCAGTCCTTGAACATTTGAAGATAATCGACCAGGATGGAACTGGCACGATTGATGCCAAGGAGCTTGTGGACGCCCTGGGAGACAAGGAATTCGCGAAGGAGGTGGCGAGGGCCATAATCGCCAACTACGACAAGAACGGAGATGGTGAGCTGGATGTCGATGAGTTCTGCACCTTCCTCGCTTGTGCACAATAAATCTACGGTCAAAGTGTATGACCGACTACCGGAATATGGTACTTTTCTTGTCTTGTCGGGTTTCTATTTGCACACATGAATGATAACAAAGCCAATTCTTAAGCAGTCCCTTAAATTCATTGGTGAAAAACGTTTCCTAAATGTGCGCAGACACGAAGCGTTCAGAATTGCTTGTGAGCCTGAACTAATTCACTAATTTGTTTAATCGCATACATATATTTACTTCGTATGATTTACCCAGAATCGATATGAAAATCCAAAGGCGCAAATACTCGAACACCATGTCTAAAACGTTGAAGGCTTCCCAATTTCCTAGTCTTAGCCAACGTTTCTGGCACAAGTTGAAGGCAAAGCAAAAGCCCAGTAGCTTCCCAGATGCACGCATTTATGTACGCCTAGACAATGTATTGTCAATGAGGTGAGCAATTAAAACTGAGTTTGAACGAAGATGTGGTGTGCCGCAAAGTTGTTACTGTGTGAAGAGAGCTGAGCAAATAAACACCTAAATCAGAGCGTTAACTAAGTTGTCATGGGAAGTGTTTATGTCCTCAACAGTATTTACGGTGCATTCATAGCTATGCTCATGTGTGAGAGTAGATTCAAGAATTTGCTTAATAATTAAGCAGGCCTGAAGAGAGCTGAGTAAAGAAGCATCGAAAGTCAGAGTGTTAACTAAGCTGTCATGGAGAATGCTAATAGCCTTAGCAACATGCTCGCAAACGCGAGTAGACTTTAAAACCTGATCAATAATAAAGCGGGCCTGCTGCATTGACGAT